CAAAAATACAGTTGAAAATTCCAAAAAGTCAATAACGTCATTCTGTAATATTTGTAGAAGGGAAATAGCTGTTACTTTTAGTACAAAAGTACAGTTTGAAAATTCCAAAAATTCTATAATGTTCTTTGTCAATTTTTGTGGAAAAGAAATAGTTTTTACACTTGATATAAAAATACAATTGAAAATTTACAAAAACTCGGTAAAATTCTTTTTTGTAAAAGGGAAATAGGTTTAATTTACACTTGGTAGAAAAATGTAATTGAAAATTTACAAAAATCCTATAATGTTCTTCTTTGTGGAAAGGAAATAAATGTTACTCTTGGTTTATAGATACATATGAAAATTCCAGTAATTCTTTAGTGTCCTCTGTGGAAAAGAAATAGATGTTGGTTACAAATGCAGTTGAAAAATTTCAATATATCTTTAATGTCCTCATTTGTGGAAGAGACATAGCTAATACACATGGTGCAGCATTAAGTTGAAATTTTAATTATTTTATAATGTCCTTCTTTGTGGAAGAGTAACATTTGCATGTTATTTTTGTTATAATAATAAGTAACGAAATTCTAATAATTTGATTCTGCATATTGTTTGCAGAATTATTTGTTATAGAAAATACAGTTGAAAGATTACAATAATTTTGGCAAGGAAGTCTTTTTTTAAAGGGAACTGTTTATTACACTTGGTATAAAAATACAGTTGGAAATTCCAATATATCTATATTGTCCTTTTTGTGGAAGGGAAATACCTATTACACTTGGTACAAACTATTGCTTTTTATACCACCGCAAAAAAATTTTGTGGTCGTATATTGGTATGACGTTGGGGTCGTCGTTGTCGTCGTCCGGCGTCGTCCGAAGACACGTTGGTTTTCGCACTCTAACTTTAGTTTGAGTGAATGGATCTTTTTGAAATTTGACCATAAGGTTAAATACCACAAAAGGAAGGTTGGGATTGATTTTGGGGGTTATGGTACCAACAGTTAAGGAATTAGGGGCCAAAAAGGGGCCAAAAATAAGCATTTTCTAGTTTCAAGACAATAACTGTGGAACGGTGTATGGATCTCTCTGAAATTATACTACAAGTTTCCATACCACAAAGGGATGGTTAGGATTTGCTTTGGGGGGTTATGGCTCAAACCGTTTAGGAATTAGGGGCAAAAAAGGGGGAAAAACAAGGTTGTCCTGGTTAATGGACAAATACTTTAGTACAAAACATAATTTTAAGCAGTGTAAGGGAGATAAATCAAATACATCATTGAAATTATCTCCCTTACACTGCTTTTAAATAATGTATTAAGTAATGGTTAATGAACAATAAAGATAATTTAAAACAGTGTAAGGGAGGTAATCCAAATACAACGTTTTGGTTACTTCCCTTACACTGCTTTTAAATTATGTTTAAAGAAATGCATATTTATAAAGGAAGACCAGTAAAAATATCTGCAAATGTTGCATCTTTTTTTTTTACCAAAAAATCCATATGAAAGATTTGACCTTATATTTTTAATTCTATTATAAAATAGATTAAGTTAGCACTATGGTAAATTTAAATGGGTAATTATGGTTGCCAACTCCATTGGAAATTTGAATTGAGATTATGACCATATCTTGAGGGAACAAATTTTTTTTTGGGGGAAAAAAGGGGGGGGGGGGGATAAAAATAAATTGTGGGGGGTCAATTTTTTCTCATTTCAGATTTCAGAAATTAAAAAGAATTATTCTGCAAATATTATTTATTTTTCAAATTTCAAATATTGAAAAATTTCAAGAAGTAATCTTTAATTGCACAGTATGGCGCATTAGATTTGTAAAATCTTTGATCACATTTATTTATTTGTTATGCCGAATCTAACAGTGTATTTAGATTTTTAATTTTGGGTCCAGTTTTCAATTGGTCTACATTAAGGTCCAAAGGGTCCAAAAATAACTTTGTTTGATTTTAGCAAAAAATGAATATATGAGGTTCTTTGATATGCTGAATCTAAACATGTATTTAAATTTTTGATTTTTGGCCCAGTTTTTAAGTTGGTCCAAATTGGGGTCCAAAATTAAACTTTGTTTGATTTCAACAAAAATTGAATATATGGGGTTCTTTGATATGCTGAATCTAACCATGTATTTAGATTTTTTATTTTGTGGACCCCGTTATCAAATTGGTTCATATTGAGGTCAAAAGGGTCCAAAATTAAACTTTGTTTGATTTCATCTAAAATTGAATTATTGGGGTTCTTTGATATTCCAAATCTAACCGTGTATTTAGATTTTTAATTTTGGGTCCTGTTTTTTTAAATTGGTCTACATTAAGGTCCAAAGGGTCCAAAATGAAACTTAGTTTGATTTTAACAAAAATTGAATTCTTGGGGTTCTTTGATATGCTGAATCTAAACATGTGTTTAGATTTTTGATTATGGGCCCAGTTTTCAAGTTGGTCCAAGTTGGGTCCAAAATTAAACTTTTTTTGAATTCAACAAAAAATGAATATATGGGGTTCTTTGATATGCTGAATCTAACCATGAATTTAGATTTTTTATTTGTGGGCCCCACTATCGAATTGGTTCATATTGAGGTCAAAAGGGTCCAAAATTAAACTTTGTTTGATTTCATCAAAAATTGAATTATTGGGGTTCTTTGATATTCCAAATCTTACCATGTATTTAGATTTTTAATTTTAAGTCCCATTTTTTAAATTGGTCTACATTAAGGTCCAAAGGGTCCAAAATTAAACTTAGTTTGATTTTAGCAAAAATTGAATTCTTGGGGTTCTTTGATATGCTGAATCTAAACATGTGTTTAGATTTTTGATTATGGGCCCAGTTTTCAAGTTTGTCCAAGTTGGGGTCCAAAATTAAACTTTGTTTGATTTTAACAAAAATTGAATATATGGGGTTCTTTGATATGCTGAATCTAACCATGTATTTTGATTTTGGACATTGGACCATAATAGGTAAATTAAATAAATTCAAGTTCTTAGACCACATTCTTTCTGTGTCAGAAACCTATGCTGTGTCAAATATTTAATAACAATCCAAATTCAGAGCTGTATCAAGCTTGAATGTTGTGTCCATACTTGCCTCAACTGTTCAGGGTTCGACCTCTGCGGTCATATCAAGCTGCGCCCCAGCAAAGCATTTTATTCTTATTTATTATCATTCCTGCTGTAATTTTATTCATATAACTATCCAGCTTCATTGAACTTTCAGACCTACTATAATTTTATTTGTATAATTATCTACCTTGATAAAAGGTTTTTCATTGAGTTTTCCGACTGACTGTTGTTTTATTGATATGATTGATCAACCTGTGTTAGTCAATTATATCGTTAATCTCTAAATTCACATGTAACAGCCGTTAGGAATTGATTTAGGTTTCCTAATTTAGTTATTTTTGACCTTTAATCTAGAAAATGATATGAATTTTTAATAAGATATGATTTATGATTCTCAGCTGAGATATGACTTCATCAAAATCTTTTAAGTTTATATTGAATATGAATGACAGTCAATAGAGAATATCATATGGCTTTTTCAATATCATATCCGTATCAACACGAGACACCAATATAATCCCAAGAGCTCTGCTTGAGGGATTATATTGGTCGAGGGTTGATACGAGGTGTGATATTGAAAAAAAAAATCATATACACTTTATTATATACTTCAAGTAGATGTTTTCCCTCGTGAGTTGATGTAATACAGATTAGGGGTTTGATAAAGCCTTTACCAGCGTGACCGATATCGATGACGTGATGTCAAAGAGTTGTAGGGGTATGATAAAGCTTATGTAAGCGTGACTGATATCAATGAAAAGTTAAATCACAAAAATACTGAACTCCAAGGAAAACTCAAAACGGAAAGTCCCTAATTAAATGGCAAAATCAAAAGCACAAACACATCAAACGAATGGACAACAACTGTCATATTCCTGACTTGGTACAGGCATTTTCTTATGTAGAAAATGGTGGATTGAACCTGTTTTTATAGCGGTAAACCTCTCACTTGTATGACAGTCGCATCAAATTCCATTATATTGACAACGATGTGACGTCATAGAGTTGTTAGGGTTTGATAAGGCTTATGTAACCGTGACCGATATCAATGACGTGACATCATAGAGTTGTAGGGTTTTGATACAGCACGATTGTCATTGATTGTATTACACATACAGTATACATGTATTTACCACTAAATATTTAATAAAAGGAGATAATATTTGGTAATGGTCAGGCTGATTACTAGATAATATTTGGTAATGGTTATAGGCTGACCACTGGGCTGGAGATGCCAACATACTTGTAATCAAACTCAATTATAAAGCTAGGAATTTTTTGTAATTTGCGGTTACACAGTGTTTTCTATTTTACTTCTTACCATTGCTCAAATTCTACATGTAGATGTCAAGGTAGTGTCTTTCACAATGAACAGATGTCTTGTTGTCTTCTTTGGGGCCTGGGGGGGTGGGAGGGGAGGGGGGGGGGGGGCGCGTCAATACTTAATTGATAGGAGTGCCGCTGGGTTTCTGTTACCCCATCCTTTTCATATATTTTAGATTTATAAATGTATACCTTTTCATATATTGCATAGGTAAAAATTGTAATTACAGGGATTTTAATATAATGGGAACTTTATTGACCTTATCATATAATTCTGATAGTTTTCCCCTCCTATTCACATATTTTCAAGCTTGAAAATGTGACCTATTCCAGCGGCACATCCTATCACCTTGCATATAGGAAGTAGTCCCCTCGAGTTGTATCCATACCTGTATCCTGCAATAGGTTGTGGGGGTTTAATCCATGACCCCATCCTACCAACCCCCTGAAAAATAAAAACCTAAAAATAATTAGTTTTAGACTATTAAACTTGAATTTCAAATTGAAGTTTGACTATTAAAGTCAGAGCACCATGACCCCAAATAACCCCCCATCAGAGACATCCTGGTTATGGACCTGATATCTGAATTTTTTATTTTTCTGTTACTAAATATTATTTCTGTTTACAGCTTCATTGTTACGAGGACTTAAACATGCCAATATAGTTACACTTCATGATATAATTCACACAAAAGAAACATTAACATTCGTCTTTGAATATGTGGTAAGTAAATATAAGCCATCTTTTCTTGAGTGCCAGTTTTAGAGTAGTAAGAATTATTTCCCTTTAATCAAATTTAACACTTTTAACATATTATTAGTGTAAATTCAGAAATTATTTAGAGTTTTTTATAAATACGAATAATGCGACTGGATATTTATCTCAATGATAAAAACTCTCATTCTGAAATCTGATACATATATCTTTATGCAGATTTTTTCTGAAATTGCAAAGAATTATCTCACATTTTTGTCCATTCCTCAAAAATCCCAATAATTTCTGAATTTACTGTATATTTTATAGGAATAGAAGGAGATGGGATTGTTAATGTTAGGAGGTTGTTGATTCTAAAAGAATAAAAGAAATTTAAATTTTGATGAAGATTAATTGAAAATACTACCGACTTCCCTTATGATAATAACTAATAATTACAACTGTTAATATTGTACTTCATACATTCCTCACAACAACAAAAAACACAAAGTACAGATCTGAGAGTACTCACCCTTACTGACAGCTAGTTCAAAGCCAATAACAACTAATAAAAACAATCATGTATCTAAGACTAAAATATCAATCAGTACACATCCAACATCCAATGGATTTAGTGTAAAGGAGTCATTTACAGTCAGAGTAAACATAACCTTGTGCAATGCCAAATTATAGGTATCGACAGACTGTAGAACCGTGAATGTGCATATAAGTATAACAATAATATCTGGTTTTAATTTACCTATTTTAACCGCTACACTGCTACTTTTGCATAGGTACTATTTCTGTACTAAAAATCTGTAGTACTGGAAATTTACTTTTAATATTAAGTACTATGTCTTTACTTTAAAATTCTTGTAATATTTAGGTACCTGTATTTTACAGTACTTGATTTGTACTTGAAATATTTGGTACAGAAGTAATACCAACAGTGATCGCAATATTCCATGTTTGAAAATCATAACTTTAAGAGATTTGAAATAGACAAACTTTCAAAATGCTGAAAATGTAATGGTGTAACCAAAATTTTGTAGTACTTAAATTTCAAGTACATATCAAGTACTGTAAAATACCGGTACCTAAATATTACAATAATTTTAAAGTAACAAAATAGTACTAAATATTAAAAGTAGATTTCCAGTACTATAGATTTTTGGTACAGGAATAGTACCTATGCAAAAGTAGCAGTGTAGAAGGTGTTAACTTGACTTCTTTATTTAAGAATCAGTCTTAATGTTATGTTCTAAATTTTATTAAATAAATGAATTTATATTTATCTTTTAGCATACAGACCTAAGTCAGTATTTAGAGAGGCATCCAGGAGGTTTAAATGCTTTTAATGTAAAGGTATGTTGTAAATATTTCAGCACCAATAAACATTGATACAGTACACACATGGGGATTCAGACAAAATAAAACATTGGTGGTTATTTTTCACGGGGGAAGGAGCGGGATGGGGGTCTCAACATACATATTTGGGTACAGACGTCTTGCTGTGGTTTGAAAACCAACCCCCAATCTTATATTGATTGATGCACCTCAAATGAACTTTTTGTTACGTTCTGAGGCATAATTCTTCCAAAGCATTTTATTTGAAAGATCTAGAGATCTTTGTATAATCTATCTAATTAGTCCATATACTTTCAATAAACAGCTTTTCCTATCGAAGGTCTGTGGTTTTCTCCGGCTACTCCGGCTTCCCCCCACAATAAAAACTGGCCGCCACAAAATAGCCCAAATATGGCGCTTATGAATGGTGTTAAAAAAACAATAATCAATAAATCAAAGATACCGGGCTTAGAATTAATCAAACCAGACGCACGATTTGTGTACAAAAGACTCATCACTGGATCAAATTAAAATAGGTGACAGATCACCTCAGATAAAGAGTTCCAACATAACATTTCAAAAACAAAATGAATTTTGAGTTCAGATGAACAACTGTATTTAGGTAGAAAGGGGTGTCACATTCAAACCAGTATAATACCGCCACATTCTGTATGTGCCTGTCCCAAATAATGAGCCTGTACTTCAGTGGTTGTTTTTTTTTGCTGTGTAATATATTTATTTTTTGTTCATTATCTTGTACATTAATCATGTTAGTAAGGCCGTTAGTTTTCTCGTTTGAATTGTTTCAAATTGTCATTTCGGGGTCTTATATAGCTGACTATGCGGTTTGGGCTTTGCTCGTTGTTGAAGGCAGTACGGTGAAATAAAGTTTTTAATTTCTGTGTCATTTGGTGTCTTGTGGAGAGTTGTATCGTTTGCAATCATACCACTATAAGTTATATGGTTCGCTACTGACCCTCTATGGATCCATAGAGGGTTAGTAAAATCCATAGGGGATGAGGCCGAAGGCGGAATCTCCTATGGATTTTATTCACCCTCTATGGTCAGTAGGGGGTCAGTAGTGAACCGTATAAAGAATTTATCGCACGCGGGACTGTTTCTGCTGTGTTTTGTAGAAAAATAAACAATGAAACACAACAACATTAATAAATGACGTCACCATTAACAGTAGACGTGACGTCATGAACCCCTATGAAATTTACTAACCCCCCTACGGATCCATAGGGGGTCACCAAGTGACGGCTTTAAACCAATCACAACGTGATAATTTACCCGCGGTGCGATAAATCGTCTTATTTTTATTTCAGTGCCTAAAGTAAAACAACTTAAGCGTTTCGTCAAAGAACAAACGAGTGAGAACTTAGAAATTGAGACATATAACAATAAAATATACAACTTTTTTCAGAAAAAGTAATATGAAATATATCAATTTCAATAAAATCCTATATATAAGAAGAATGCAGATCTTCAGCATTTATCATAAATCATCAGTATAAGATCATGGTATGAATCAGTCATCGTTGGAAAGCTATATCATTCATTCATGTTTAATTTACCGTTTCTTTCTTTTGTCACTCATTGTCATTCTAGTTTTAGTCCATTATATCATATTATAATCCTCTGTGTTGTAGGTTTTTTTTTAATCGCAGGTTTAATATTCATCAACAGCCATGATAATTTATCTTCCAAGTTGAATCATTCTCTTGTTTTAGGGAGGAACAAATAATTATTCGTAAAAAACAACTTTTATTCAAAAACATCACGTCCAGCTATAAAATATAATGTCCCCAATTTAAATAATTTAAAGTTTGTTGTCTATGTTGCACGCATCTTTCCCATCGAACTTAGCATCACAGATACAACAGATATGGTAAGGTCTGCCTCATATTTTAAAATAAATCTATTAATTTACAATGCGGATCGGGGGTGAAAAAACAAGTTTACGACAAAAACATATGATTTCCACTTCCCAATTGTAAACCTTACATTTCTCTGAAGCAATGTTCCAGCAGTTCCTGTATATCTAGTATATATCTTTAGTTGATACGATATTCCAAGGCTTTCGTTTCTTATCATTATTTCCCTGTTACATGGTTTCTGCTTACATGGAAGCGATCATATCGAGAGTTTCAACTGATGAAGTTGAAGTTATTCCTGCGTAAAATTTAACAGTCGCAATCAATATTTGATTGACCGTTATGAAATAACAGATGTCGACGGATATGTTTGTAACCACTTTCCTGTTCTCCAGTCCTGGAATGTAACATCTGAGATCTACACTAGAGTTTCTACTTACCATATGTTCATCATATGGCGTTTACACATCTCAGTTAATATTGCCAATTGAACATGGTTAAGCAGAGTGTGTGTAGATGCTGAAAGAAATCAATGATAGGTGTTGTTGTTTTTTTCTGTGTACAGTGAATTAAAGCCCCCCTTTATCGTTTTATTACCACGGGGCCGAAGTTTTAACTGAACAAAAAGTACAAAAAGACCGTATTTAAAAAAGAATAATTTGCAAATTATGTATTAAGTTCATACTCACGAAAATGTTCAGACATGAAACTATTTAAAATTTTTTATTACCTTTTATGTATTCTAACGATAGTACTGAAATACGAAACTATCTAAAATGTGTATGATATCTAAAAATATTTCATTGCTCGACAATTTTGAAATGCACGTTTCTGTTTATTGAAGTGAAACTTAAGATTTGTATCGTGACGCATATACTTTCAAGGATGTGTTGTTTACAATGGTCGTATGAGTATAAATAATACTGTAACCAGTACGGTCAGTAGTTGTTGTTTGCATATATTATCTTCTTTACCTATACGAGGGGCCTCGGTGGCCGAGTGGTCTAAGTAGTTACTACTGTAATCACTAGCCAGTCAACACTGAGGTTGTGAGTTCGAACCCCGCTCGTGCGGGTGCACTCGACTCCAATCTTAATTGACTAGGATTGTCAGTTTTCCTATCGAAGGTTGATGGTTTTCTCGGGGCACTTTGGCTTCCTCCACCAATTAAAATTGGCCGCCACGAAATAGCCCAAAAGCGGTGCTTAAAAGTGGCGTTAAAACACCAAAATCAAATCAAAAATCAAATTCAATAAACAGCAATATGTTCATATTCATAAAACCGATATAGAAAAATGTTGATACAAAGTGCAAAAATGTAAATAAACCTGGAAAAAAAAGAAGAGAAATGGAATTTAATAGCTTATGTAATTCACATCCCCCCTTTTTGCCAAGAAAGTTTAAATGACCTTAAATATTTGTATAGTTGTGATTTCATTTATGATCAGAATATTGATATTGGTAAATTACTTTTTCTTTTACAGATATTTTTATTCCAATTACTGAGAGGACTACGATATTGTCATACAAGGAAAATATTACACAGGTATAGTTGTGTTAATTAAGGAATAACAGTACTGTATTTGAAGATTTGCCACCGTCAATTAGGAATTTGATGGTCACAAATGTAAGTTTTACTTGCAGTGCGGAATGGGGCTAGTAAATCAAAGATTTGTGACCCTAATATCCCAAATACAGTACTGTAGTTCCTATTCTAATGCAAAAGTCTTTAAATGTTCAAAAATAAACAATTGAAATATCCTGGAAACGTCAGCTGTGATCGCTCAAAGTTGTTGCAAATAACTGCGACCGTCAACTATGGAATTGAGTGCAGACAATCATCCAATCAAAACTAGTCTTACATGACATATTGCATATTACAACTACTGACAAGGTTCCTGGCTTGAGACTGGCACATGACAAGGCCCTGGGGTAGAATAAATTGTTTATTACTTTATGTGTACCTTTAGGTGTATGTTAAAAGTAGAATAACAAAAATACCAAAGTCCTAGGAAAATTCAAAACGGAAAGTCCCTTATCAAATGGCAAAATTTAAAGCTCAAACACATCAAAAGAATGGAAAACAACTGTCATATTCCTGACTTGGTACAGGCATTTCCTTATGTAGAAAATTGTAACTTAAATCTTTTTGTGTAGAGAATTTTATTTTAGTGAATCATGTTATTTATATTTTCAGGGATCTGAAGCCCCAAAATTTGTTAATAAGTGAACAGGGTGATCTCAAGTTAGCTGATTTTGGTAAGTTGTGAAAGGGGAGATAAGAAGATGTGGAAAAACAATACCAAGGGGAGATAATTTTTATTTATCAACAAATTGTTTAAACAACCTCATATTTTTAATTTTAAAATTTTAAAAAATATATGTAAATGCATGGTAAATCTATCCAAATAGAAAAAAAGCAATATACAGTCAGAAGTCAAAAGTGTTCCACCTCTTGAAAATTAAGCATATATTTCATATAAGAACACATTTAGAAAAACAATCTCCTGAAGTTATTGTCTGATTTGAATGAAACTTTTATCATTGAATACAGAAATTTCTTCATTTCCTTGCTATAATTATGACAAGTTTTATTTTATACATTGCAGGTTTAGCCAGGGCTAAATCTATTCCTAGTCACACCTACTCCAATGAAGTAGTCACTTTATGGTACCGGCCTCCTGATGTGTTACTGGGGTCCACAAATTATTCAGTGTCTTTAGATATGTGGTGAGTATAGACAGACCTCCTGATGTGTTACTGGGGTCCACAAATTATTCAGTGTCTTTAGATATGTGGTGAGTATAGACCGGGCTCCTGATGTGTTACTGGGGTCCACAAATTATTCAGTGTCTTTAGATATGTGGTGAGTATAGACAGACCTCCTGATGTGTTACTGGGCTCCACAAATTATTCAGTGTCTTTAGATATGTGGTGAGTATAGACCGGCCTCCTGATGTGTTACTGGGGTCCACAAATTATTCAGTGTCTTTAGATATGTGGTGAGTATAGACCAGCCTCCTGATGTGTTACTGGGGTCCACAAATTATTCAGTGTCTTTAGATATGTGGTGAGTATAGACAGACCTCCTGATGTGTTACTGGGGTCCACAAATTATTCAGTGTCTTTAGATATGTGGTGAGTATAGACCGGCCTCCTGATGTGTTACTGGGGTCCACAAATTATTCAGTGTCTTTAGATATGTGGTGAGTATAGACAGACCTCCTGATGTGTTACTGGGGTCCACAAATTATTCAGTGTCTTTAGATATGTGGTGAGTATAGACCGGCCTCCTGACGTGTTACTGGGGTTCACAAATTATTCAGTGTCTTTAGATATGTGGTGAGTATAGACCAGCCTCCTGACGTGTTACTGGGGTTCACAAATTATTCAGTGTCTTTAGATATGTGTTGAGTATAGAACGGCCTCCTGATGTGTTACTGGGGTCCACAAATTATTCAGTGTCTTTAGATATGTGGTGAGTATAGACCGGCCTCCTGATGTGTTACTGGGGTCCACAAATTATTCAGTGTCTTTAGATATGTGGTGAGTATAGACAGACCTCCTGATGTGTTACTGGGGTCCACAAATTATTCAGTGTCTTTAGATATGGTGAGTATAGAACGGCCTCCTGATGTGTTACTGGGGTCCACAAATTATTCAGTGTCTTTAGATATGTGGTGAGTATAGACCGGCCTACTGATGTGTTACTGGGGTCCACAAATTATTTAGTGTCTTAAGATATGTGGTGAGTATAGACAGACCTCCTGATGTGTTACTGGGGTCCACAAATTATTCAGTGTCTTTAGATATGTGTTGAGTATAGACCGGCCTCCTGATGTGTTACTGGGGTCCACAAATTATTCAGTGTCTTTAGATATGTGGTGAGTATAGACCGGCCTCCTGATGTGTAACTGGGGTCCACAAATAATTCAGTGTCTTTAGATATGTGGTGAGTATAGACAGACCTCCTGATGTGTTACTGGGGTCCACAAATTATTCAGTGTCTTTAGATATGTGGTGAGTATAGACAGACCTCCTGATGTGTTACTGGGGTCCACAAATTATTCAGTGTCTTTAGATATGTGGTGAGTATAGACCGGCCTCCTGATGTGTTACTGGGGTCCACAAATTATTCAGTGTCTTTAGATATGTGGTGAGTATAGACAGACCTCCTGATGTGTTACTGGGGTCCACAAATTATTCAGTGTCTTAAGATATGTGGTGAGTAGAGACCGGCCTCCTGACGTGTTACTGGGGTTCACAAATTATTCAGTGTCTTTAGATATGTGGTGAGTATAGACCGGCCTCCTGACGTGTTACTGGGGTTCACAAATTATTCAGTGTCTTTAGATATGTGTTGAGTATAGAACGGCCTCCTGATGTGTTACTGGGGTCCACAAATTATTCAGTGTCTTTAGATATGTGTTGAGTATAGACCGGCCTCCTGATGTGTTACTGGGGTCCACAAATTATTCAGTGTCTTTAGATATGTGGTGAGTATAGACAGACCTCCTGATGTGTTACTGGGGTCCACAAATTATTCAGTGTCTTTAGATATGGTGAGTATAGAACGGCCTCCTGATGTGTTACTGGGGTCCACAAATTATTCAGTGTCTTTAGATATGTGGTGAGTATAGACCGGCCTCCTGATGTGTTACTGGGGTCCACAAATTATTTAGTGTCTTAAGATATGTGGTGAGTATAGACAGACCTCCTGATGTGTTACTGGGGTCCACAAATTATTCAGTGTCTTTAGATATGTGGTGAGTATAGACCGGCCTCCTGATGTGTTACTGGGGTCCACAAATTATTCAGTGTCTTTAGATATGTGGTGAGTATAGACCGGCCTCCTGATGTGTAACTGGGGTCCACAAATAATTCAGTGTCTTTAGATATGTGGTGAGTATAGACAGACCTCCTGATGTGTTACTGGGGTCCACAAATTATTCAGTGTCTTTAGATATGTGGTGAGTTTAGAGAATATTTTTTACAAGAAATGAATTTGCATGTTACCTTGTGAACTAGCACATTTAAAATCTGGTTCAGCCTGTGTCGTTTAGTACAATGTTAGGTTCAAATTCATATCACATTTACAAGTTTGCATCCTGATATGAATAAAATATTTCCCACTGGAAATTAAACACCAATTCAAAAGAGATTGCAAAATTTCATTTTAATGCCCCACCTAGGGGCATTATGTTTTTCGGTCTGTGCGTCCGTTTATTCATCCGTCCCTTAGTCCGTCCGTCTGTCCCACTTCAGATTAAAGTTTTTGGTCAAGGTAGTTTTTGATGAGATTGAAGTCCAATCAACTTGAAACTTAGTATACATGTTCCCTATGATATGATCTTTCTAATTTTAATGCCAAATTAGAGTTTTGACCCCAATTTCACGGTCCACTGAACATAGAAATTGATAGTGCGAGTGGGGCATCCGTGTACTATGGACACATTCTTGTTTCTGTCTGATATAGGACTGACAGAATGTAAATTGTTGAACGTCCTTTAAAAAATTTGGTGGTCTTACATTGTTGAAATTTTAATGTCAATCATGCTTGAAAATTTGAAAATGAAAAAATAAAATGGAAATACAAATAAAACAACTAAAGGCAATTTTAATCACGTTTTAATGAAGTAACAAATTAATTTTTTTCAAAAAGTATAATCTTTTAATGTGTGCTTGTGTAAATATGACCTGAAGTGAAAGAAAATACTTTGATTTGCTTGCATAAATAAACTGTTCTTTTTTAAATTCAGACGATTCACTTTATTATGAAATAACTTTTCAGTAAAGGCTATCTGTACTTTAGATTTATTCCACAAACTATTCTTTTAAAAAAATTTGTAAGGGTTCCGCGGAAAGGATTTTTTTTTTACAAAATTCACTTCTGGATACTGTCTTATGATCATAAACAAGCTTCTGTCCATGTTTGGTAGAAATCCAGGATAGTTTAAGAAAGTTATTAAAATTTCAAAAACTTTAACAACAGAGTGAATGTAATGTTTCCTGGCAGATAAACTAAGTCCATTTATAAGTAAAGTACGGAAAAAATGGAATTTTTTTTTTACGAAATTTACTTTTGAATATTATCTTATGATCATAAACAAGCTTCTGACGGAATGTAGGATCGCTATGGCTTTCTTTTTCGACAAAAGTCAAAGGCTCGACAGAAAGGGTACTAAAAAGTGCTAAACAAGGTCCAGAAATTTTTCACTCGATTTCTATCATAAATTGAGGATTTGAGAGTCAGGAAATTTTTTATCCTACTGTCATGGGAGTTATTAATTGTTATAGGGGGTGCTCCTACTGTCTTCAGAGTTATTAATTGTTATAAGAGGTGCTCCTACTGACTTGAGAGTTATTAATTGTTATAGGAGGTGCTCCTACTGTCTTGGCAGTTATTTATTGTTATAAAAGGTGCTCCTACTGTCTTGGGAGTTATGTATTGTAATAGGAGGTGCTCCTACTGTTTTGGCAGTTATTAATTGTTATAGGAGGTGCTCCTAATGTCTTGAGAGTTACTTATTAGTCTCCTACAGACGAAGTCAAAGGGGACTTTAGGTTTGCACTCCGTCCGTCTGTCTATCTGTCTGTCTGTCTGTCCGTCTGTCTGTCCTTCTGTCAGTCCGGCAAATCAGCTTTCCACACTTTTTTTTCTTCGTTCTTGAAGATATTGATTTGATATTTGGTATATAGTTTTATCATGACAAGTTTTAGATCAAGTTCAAATTTTGTTCCGGTCTGATGATTTAATCCAGAGTTATGGACCATAACTCTGGACCATATCTAATGTTAGAGTACTATGTTAAACCATATTTCTGTACAAAGGGAGATAACTAATTTTTTAAAAGACATTCTTTGTTCAATTATTTGAAGAATTTGTTGGCAGGTTTGTTAGTTATTTAGTATAAACTTATTTTCTGAATGCTATATATATAAAAAAAAATTATGAAGAGAAATCCTTTAATTAGATAATAATCTATTTTTATTATGTATATATTTCAATACATTACAGTGTGTAGATAAAAGTTGTTGACATTTTATAGATAAGTTACAAATCTATATTAGTTTGTGACAAATGAAAGAAAAAATATTTGGAACTATTAATTATATTTGATTATAATTTGAAAATAGATATACACTGTATTACATCATATCTAATTTTAGAGAACTATTAATCATATCTAATGTTTTTTTCATCATGCTTATACGATATTGATTGATAATTGGTATATAATTTTATCATGACAAGTTACAGATCAAGTTCAAATTTTTGTTTCGGTCTAATAATTTTGTGCAGAGTTATGGTCCTTGGACTTGAAAAATTCACTCATATAATCAATTTTCCACACTGTTTTTAGTCATGCTTGAAGATATTGACATGATATTTACTTTTTGTTTACACCATGACAAGTTATAGAACAAGTTAGCATTTTGTTCCAGTATAATGAATTTTTACCCGGTAGGGGACTATGTATTGCCATGCAATACTCTCAGAATGCTTGTTGATATAGGAGGTGCTCCTACTGTCAGGGAGTTATTACTTGTTATAGGTGTTCCTACTGTCTTGGGAGTTATTACTTGTTATAGGAGGTGCTCCTACTGTTTTGGGAGTTATTATTTGTTTTAGGAGGTGCTCCTACTGTTTTGGGAGATATTTATTGTTATAGGAAGTGCTCCTTCTATCTTTGGGAGTTATTAATTGTTATAGGAGGTGCTCCTTCTGTCTTGGTAATTATCTATTGTATACATGTATTTTGCAGGGGTGTAGGTTGTATATTCACAGAAATGATTGCTGGTGCTCCGACATTTCCTGGTATGAAGGACTCCTATGATCAGTTAGATAAAATATTTAGGGTAAGTACAAATAGGTTAATCATCTTTTTCAGGGTTGTATCAGTCATTTTTTTTAATAATTCCATTGTATAATAGTTTAGAAAAGCCTGCATTTCAACTCATCAATTTTTTTTATAAAAATAATGTTGCAAATGCAGAACATCTAATAGCAAAAATAGTAGATGTCTGTTAAAAAAAAAAACATTAATGTTAATAAGAAGTTTAAATTTAAGACTGCTGCTAAAGCATCCTGTTGACTTAACCAGAAAAAATGAAAACAACACTTTAAAAATTTCATGCGTCCAAAATGCTTTTCTTGATTTACCGTCATCAGGAAGTCTCAAAGCTGAATATTTGATAGCCAAGGATGTATAAGAACCGACACAGTTGAAGAGCTATTTGGCCAAAAAGGACCTAAAATAGCCAATACCATCTAAGGTCAAATATGCTTTAGGGAGTTAACTCAGTTAAGTGTTTTGTCAGCCCTAAGCTCTATTTTGGACTCACTTTAAATGATGAAAGTTCTTTTATTCTGGTACATTTTTCAATGGTTCAGGGGCGATAATGAAATCTAATACTGTAGTAAAATTAATTGTTTATTTATATGATGAGGATTAATTCATGAATGTGAGCATCTATAAATGTAAGATTTGTTTTATATCCATGAAATGTTTTACACACAATTTTATTTATAATTTTATCTTTTTTCAAAATCAAGTATTTTGGCATGTGTACATTTTGACCCAAAAAAAATCAAATTATGACTATTAAATATATTTTTTACCACAACATGTAAGTTCTTTTTAAAATAGTCTGATTGCCTCATCCAAGCAAATGTAAACAAGTTTCAGTTAAACTTTTTGTATTGCCTAATTGATACCATGACAGGATCAATACTTTATACTTTAAATGATATATTGTGATCTCATCTTAACGTAATTCATGTCTATTTTTAGGTGCTGGGAACCCCCACAGACAACACATGGAAGGATGTCTCTAAATTACCTCAGTACGATAGGAGTAAGTTTTTGGGGAGATGTGTAGGGGTGTGTCTAAATTATCTCAGTATGATAGGAGTTAGCTTGGAGAGAAAGATAGGATGCTATTTGGAAGAGTGGTTTGTATGAAGGAAACAACAAGAATCCCAACAAAAAAACTCATAATTTGAATTTAATTTTAAATTTCTAGGAAGGTTTTTAGGAGGGGGGGGGGGCATACCAAGGAGGCAACTACAAACTTTAAAGAAATACACTATAGCTCAAGTAGATTGTGTTATTTCCACCTTTCCATGATGTGAATGGGCACAGAGCGGGCAAAACCAAATAAAAGTCCCTCGTTTCTAGCCTATAGATTGGACATGTCATCTCTTTTCTTTCATCATAAGTACTAAACCCAACGTACGCTGAAAATGTATCTAAAGCTTTGAATTCAATAGTTTAAATATATCTATGTTTTACAACACGCTGAGCAGGATTTTTAATGTGCTAGTTACTCAATTCAAGGTAACAGTCCACAAGAAGGCATGTCATCCTACCCGGACACATTATTCTGACTCTTAGCTCACCAGTCTTTGCAGATTATGAATAAATGACTGTGCTGATATGTCAATGAGACAGTTAACGTTAAAATACATCACAGAAAACCAGAAGACAAGTAGGGATTAACAATAGACAGGTGTCTAAACCCCTAAATCTAACTCACAAAGGTTAAAAAAGGTGTGAATACATTTATCAGAGACGATTAACATTTACCGATCAAAACCTTACTCCAAATATCAAAAAAACTTTAAACATATAACGAACACTTCTCAAAATTCATTGAACAGGCACATGTGGCAGGGTTTAACTAGATTTGTCTCCCATAGAACAAACACTACAAAAATCATACAGGAAAAATACTTTTAATTATAATACAATGTAATGTTTAGTAAGATATGCTGCTACATATAAATATGTGTATCTCATTATTCTGCCTTTAATTCTTAGTGCTTAGTTTTGTCCTCTTTATTATACTCATACATAGTCATTTACATTTATTGTAAACAGGAAAATTATCGGGGCAGTTTTTTTTTTCTCTTTTTTTTTTGGCGGGAAGAGTTAATACAAGAAAATAATACTACTGTGAACACTTCACTTAAACTTGATTCATAGGACCAAGTCCAATTGATAGCAGTTTATTTTGTCATTTTTTATGGACTTCCCTGTTTTGAATTTACCTTAGAGTTTAGTATTTTTGCTTAAATTTTTTCTTACATAGATAAACACCCCCTGGAAATTGCAAATTAAAGGCGGCGCGAATTTGAATTCAGTATGGAAATCCTGAATCAAAGACGGCACGAAAATTTCGCTGTTTACAGTAGCTTTTATGAATGTTTGATAAATATCTTTTATATTAGAATATAATACTCACATATTTTTTTTTATTTTACAGAAAAGTTTGTTATGTATGAGAGAGTGTCTTCATTGTCATTAGCAATTCCAAAACTGTCTTTCATTCCTAATGCTGAAGATCTTGCTAGTCAATTTCTGCAGGTATGACATTTTATTTTAACATACTGTAAATTCAGAAGTTATTGCCAGGTTTTTATTAATGCGATTAATGCAACTGGGTGAGTACTGCAATGATTAGAACTTGCATTCTGATATCTGATACATTCATTTGTATGCAGATTTTCCTGAAATCGCAATGATTAATCTCACATTTTTGTCCATTCTTCACAAATTGCAATAATAAATGCACCCAATAATATCTGAATTAACAGTACTTTGTCTCTCATTTTTTTCGCTCCTTGGCAGAGTAAAAAAGCAAGACTAAAGTTTGTTGTTTCCTGCAGGGGCGTTATCAATTTGTTTTATAAGTTTGTGATTATAGATATAGGAAGATGTGGTATGAGTGCCAATGAGACAACTCTCCATCTGTCAGTTTAAGAGGAACCACTAATGGTATGCCAGTGTATAAGCATTAGCACATCTTATTTCCTCAGAGTTTTTTTTAGCTCACCTGACCTGAAAGGTCAAGTGAGCTTTTCTCATCACTTTGCGTCCGTCGTCCGTCGTCCGTAAACTTTTACAAAAATCTTCTCCTCTGAAACTACTGGGCCAAATATGACCAAACTTGGCCACAATCATCATTGGGGTATCTAGTTTAAAAAATGTGTCCGATGACCCCGCCAACCAACCAAGATGGCCGCCATGGCTAAAAATAGAACATAGGGGTAAAATGTAGATTTTGGCTTATATCTCTGAAACCAAAGCATTTAGAGCAAATCTGACATGGGATAAAATTGTTTATCAGGTCAAGATCTATCTGCCCTGAAATTTTCAGACCAATCAGGCAACACATTGTTGGGTTGCTGCCCCTGAATTGGTAATTTTAAGAAAATTTTGCAGCTTTTGGTTATTATCTTGAATATTATTATAGATAGAGATAAACTGTAAACAGCAATAATGTTCAGCAAAGTAAGATCTACAAATAAGTCAACTTGACCAAAATGGTCAGTTGACCCCTTAAGGAGTTATTGCCCTTTATAGTCAATTTTTAACCATTTTTCGTAAATTTTTGTAATCTTTTACAAAAATCTTCTCCTCTGAAACTACTAAGACAAATTTAACCAAACTTGTCCACAATCATCATTAGGGTATCTTGTTTAAAAAATGTGTCCGATGACCCCGCCCGCGAACCAAGATGGCCGACATGGCTAAAAAATAGTACATAGGGTAAAATGCAGTTTTTGGCTCATATCTCTGAAACCAAAGCATTTAGAGCAATTCTGATGAGTTTAAAATTGTTCATTAGGTCAAGATCTATCTGCCCTGAAATTTTCAGACCAATCAGGCAAACCGTTGTTGGGTTGCTGCCCCTGAATTGGTAATTTTAAGGAAATTTTGCTGTTTTTGGTTATTATCTTGAATATTATTATAGATAGAGATAAACTGTAAACAGCAATAATGTTCAGCAAAGTAAGATCTACAAATAAGTCAACTTGACCAAAATGGTCAGTTGACCCCTTAAGGAGTTATTGCCCTTTATAGTCAATTTTTAACCATTTTTCGTAAATTTTTGTAATCTTTTACAAAAATCTTCTCCTCTGAAACTACTAAGACAAATTTAACCAAACTTGTCCACAATCATCATTAGTGTATCTTGTTTAAAAAATGTGTCCGATGACCCCGCCCGCGAACCAAGATGGCCGACATGGCTAAAAAATAGTACATAGGGTAAAATGCAGTTTTTGGCTTATATCTCTGAAACCAAAGCATTTAGAGCAAATCTGACATGGGATAAAATTGTTTATCAGGTCAAGATCTATCTGCCCTGAAATTTTCAGACCAATCAGGCAACACATTGTTGGGTTGCTGCCCCTGAATTGGTAATTTTAAGAAAATTTTGCAGCTTTTGGTTATTATCTTGAATATTATTATAGATAGAGATAAACTGTAAACAGCAATAATGTTCAGCAAAGTAAGATCTACAAATAAGTCAACTTGACCAAAATGGTCAGTTGACCCCTTAAGGAGTTATTGCCCTTTATAGTCAATTTTTAACCATTTTTCGTAAATTTTTGTAATCTTTTACAAAAATCTTCTCCTCTGAAACTACTAAGACAAATTTAACCAAACTTGTCCACAATCATCATTAGGGTATCTTGTTTAAAAAATGTGTCCGATGACCCCGCCCGGGAACCAAGATGGCCGACATGGCTAAAAAATAGTACATAGGGTAAAATGCAGTTTTTGGCTCATATCTCTGAAACCAAAGCATTTAGAGCAATTCTGATGAGTTTAAAATTGTTCATTAGGTCAAGATCTATCTGCCCTGAAATTTTCAGACCAATCAGGCAAACCGTTGTTGGGTTGCTGCCCCTGAATTGGTAATTTTAAGGAAATTTTGCTGTTTTTGGTTATTATCTTGAATATTATTATAGATAGAGATAAACTGTAAACAGCAATAATGTTCAGCAAAGTAAGATCTACAAATAAGTCAACTTGACCAAAATGGTCAGTTGACCCCTTAAGGAGTTATTGCCCTTTATAGTCAATTTTTAACCATTTTTCGTAAATTTTTGTAATCTTTTACAAAAATCTTCTCCTCTGAAACTACTAAGACAAATTTAACCAAACTTGTCCACAATCATCATTAGTGTATCTTGTTTAAAAAATGTGTCCGATGACCCCGCCCGCGAACCAAGATGGCCGACATGGCTAAAAAATAGTACATAGGGTAAAATGCAGTTTTTGGCTCATATCTCTGAAACCAAAGCATTTAGAGCAAATCTGACATGGGGGTAAAATTGTTCATTAGGTCAAGATCTATCTGCCCTGAAATTTTCAGACCAATCAGGTAACACATTGTTGGGTTGCTGCCCCTGAATTGGTAATTTTAAGAAAATTTTGCAGCTTTTGGTTATTATCTTGAATATTATTATAGATAGAGATAAACTGTAAACAGCAATAATGTACAGCAAAGTTAGATCTACAAATAAGGCAACTTGACCAAAATGGTCAGTTGACCCCTTAAGGAGTTATTGCCCTTTATAGTCAATTTTTAACCATTTTTCGTAAATTTTTGTAATCTTTTACAAAAATCTTCTCCTCTGAAACTACTAAGACAAATTTAACCAAACTTGTCCACAATCATCATTAGGGTATCTTGTTTAAAAAATGTGTCCGATGACCCCGCCAACCAACCAAGATGGCCGCCATGGCTAAAAATAGAACATAGGGGTAAAATGTAGATTTTGGCTTATATCTCTGAAACCAAAGCATTTAGAGCAAATCTGACATGGGATAATATTGTTTATCAGGTCAAGATCTATCTGCCCTGAAATTTTCAGACCAATCAGGCAACACATTGTTGGGTTGCTGCCCCTGAATTGGTAATTTTAAGAAAATTTTGCAGCTTTTGGTTATTATCTTGAATATTATTATAGATAGAGATAAACTGTAAACAGCAATAATGTTCAGCAAAGTAAGATCTACAAATAAGTCAACTTGACCAAAATGGTCAGTTGACCCCTTAAGGAGTTATTGCCCTTTATAGTCAATTTTTAACCATTTTTCGTAAATTTTTGTAATCTTTTACAAAAATCTTCTCCTCTGAAACTACTAAGACAAATTTAACCAAACTTGTCCACAATCATCATTAGGGTATCTTGTTTAAAAAATGTGTCCGATGACCCCGCCCGCGAACCAAGATGGCCGACATGGCTAAAAAATAGTACATAGGGTAAAATGCAGTTTTTGGCTCATATCTCTGAAACCAAAGCATTTAGAGCAAATCTGACATGGGGGTAAAATTGTTCATTAGGTCAAGATCTATCTGCCCTGAAATTTTCAGACCAATCAGGCAACACATTGTTGGGTTGCTGCCCCTGAATTGGTAATTTTAAGAAAATTTTGCAGCTTTTGGTTATTATCTTGAATATTATTATAGATAGAGATAAACTGTAAACAGCAATAATGTACAGCAAAGTTAGATCTACAAATAAGGCAACTTGACCAAAATGGTCAGTTGACCCCTTAAGGAGTTATTGCCCTTTATAGTCAATTTTTAACCATTTTTCGTAAATTTTTGTAATCTTTTACAAAAATCTTCTCCTCTGAAACTACTAAGACAAATTTAACCAAACTTGTCCACAATCATCATTAGGGTATCTTGTTTAAAAAATGTGTCCGATGACCCCGCCAACCAACCAAGATGGCCGCCATGGCTAAAAATAGAACATAGGGGTAAAATGTAGATTTTGGCTTATATCTCTGAAACCAAAGCATTTAGAGCAAATCTGACATGGGATAAAATTGTTTATCAGGTCAAGATCTATCTGCCCTGAAATTTTCAGACCAATCAGGCAACATATTGTTGGGTTGCTGCCCCTGAATTGGTAATTTTAAGAAAATTTTGCAGCTTTTGGTTATTATCTTGAATATTATTATAGATAGAGATAAACTGTAAACAGCAATAATGTTCAGCAAAGTAAGATCTACAAATAAGTCAACTTGACCAAAATGGTCAGTTGACCCCTTAAGGAGTTATTGCCCTTTATAGTCAATTTTTAACCATTTTTCGTAAATTTTTGTAATCTTTTACAAAAATCTTCTCCTCTGAAACTACTAAGACAAATTTAACCAAACTTGTCCACAATCATCATTAGGGTATCTTGTTTAAAAAATGTGTCCGATGACTCCGCCCGCGAACCAAGATGGCCGACATGGCTAAAAAATAGTACATAGGGTAAAATGCAGTTTTTGGCTCATATCTCTGAAACCAAAGCATTTAGAGCAATTCTGATGAGTTTACAATTGTTCATTAGGTCAAGATCTATCTGCCCTGAAATTTTCAGACCAATCAGGCAAACCGTTGTTGGGTTGCTGCCCCTGAATTGGTAATTTTAAGGAAATTTTGCTGTTTTTGGTTATTATCTTGAATATTATTATAGATAGAGATAAACTGTAAACAGCAATAATGTTCAGCAAAGTAAGATCTACAAATAAGTCAACTTGACCAAAATGGTCAGTTGACCCCTTAAGGAGTTATTGCCCTTTATAGTCAATTTTTAACCATTTTTCGTAAATTTTTGTAATCTTTTACAAAAATCTTCTCCTCTGAAACTACTAAGACAAATTTAACCAAACTTGTCCACAATCATCATTAGGGTATCTTGTTTAAAAAATGTGTCCGATGACCCCGCCCGCGAACCAAGATGGCCGACATGGCTAAAAAATAGTACATAGGGTAAAATGCAGTTTTTGGCTCATATCTCTGAAACCAAAGCATTTAGAGCAAATCTGACATGGGGGTAAAATTGTTCATTAGGTCAAGATCTATCTGCCCTGAAATTTTCAGACCAATCAGGCAACACATTGTTGGGTTGCTGCCCCTGAATTGGTAATTTTAAGAAAATTTTGCAGCTTTTGGTTATTATCTTGAATATTATTATAGATAGAGATAAACTGTAAACAGCAATAATGTACAGCAAAGTTAGATCTACAAATAAGGCAACATGACCAAAATTGTCAATTGACCCCTTAAGGAGTTATTGCCCTTTATAGTCAATTTTTTACAATTTTCATAAATTTTGTAAATTTTTGTAAATTTTTACAAAGTATTTTCCACTGTAACTACCGGGCCAAGTTCATTATAGATAGAGATAATAGTAAGGAGCAAGAATGTTCAGTAAAGTAAGATCTACAAACACATCACCATCACCAAAACACAATTTTGTCATGAATCCATCTGTGTCCTTTGTTTAATATGCACATAGACCAAGGTGAGCGACACAGGCTCTTTAGAGCCTCTAGTTTATTACCCTGCCCCCTCAGTCATAGTGTATTGGCTTTGAAACTTTTGCATGGTTTACACGATAAAGTATTGCTATTTTGATTTCAACATTTGCAAATCTATTTCAAAATAACATACAGGTGATACATATCTCTGTATCAACATTTTATTAATTTCCTCATTCCTTTGTCTTGTCTGTGAAGAAAAAAAACTAGCCTTTGTGATGCTAATAATGCGGCAGCATGAGCTATTTTAATGAACCTTGACCTGTGTAGCTTACTGTAGTCTGCATAGAGGATTAACCTCAGTGAACACATGAACCTCAAAAGTGCTCAAGTCTGAGAGAAAAGCAGTCTTTAAATGACCATTTCAATAAAAAATCTGGACTTTACTACCGATTTTTGGCTTCCCCTGGACTTGGCCTGCAAGTGATAGAAGAGGTTCCTGAAGTGTATATTTGAAAAATGTGTACCATCAGTAGCTGTAAACCAGTAGTTTTACATTGTTTTTGGAAGTTCCACACCTCCACACTGCATGACCCAGATAGAAAAGGAAAGTCCACCCTTCCAGAATTGCTTTTTTTCTCTGATTTCGATTTTCCAGGGTAAAAGATTGACTGGAGATTCCAAAGGGATATTCAAACTCATAAGTCGATGACAAAACTGACAACGCCTAGGCAAAAAATGAAAAATTACCAAAAGACAAACAACAGTATCCAGAACAAAACATAGAAAACTTTAGACTTAAAATCACAAACCCCACAAAAAAACCAGGGATTGATCTAAGGTGTTCTGGATCAGTAAGCAGATCCTGCTCCACAAGTGGTACCTGTCAAGTTTGAAATCAATATCAAACAGCTAACCTCTATTAGTATTGAGAGTCATTAAAGCAAAAAAAAAAAAGTATTTTGGGTAAAGTCCTAAATATTACTGTTTCTGAATGGTAAGGGTTAAGGACAGAAACAGTTTTTTACAATATATTACATCATCTTACAGAGCCTTGCCTAAAAATCATATTTTTGAAAATATTGAAAAAAAAAGAAGAAAATTTAGAGTCTAGAAAGTATGAGGTCCTATAAATGTTATTTATTGTGTATTTTGTAGATGTGTCCACAGAAAAGGATATCAGCTCAATCAGCGATGAGACATGAATACTTTAATGATCTTCCTCCAAAAATTCACGAGATTCCTGATGGTAAGTTATTTACATGAGTATGACATCCTCAATAAGGCCACCCTTAAAAAAATATTTGTTTGATGTTGCCTACCCATGACTCGTAGGGTTGGATAGATAGGTAGGGATTTTTTTTTTTTTTTGGCCACCAACATAAGTTTCATGTTTCAGACAAGAAAACAACATAAGAGCAAGAAAAAATCTTAAAAACAAAATTTGAAACGATTTGTGTGATAATTTATTTTCGAGTAGGCTGCTTTTTACATTGTTTTCGGTGGGTCGGTAGGCAACATCAATCCATTTAAATTTTTTTTAGGGCCTAACAGAAAGAAAATAAATAAAAAAATTAATATAATCAATATCAGTATACTGTGGATTCACTTATTTCTGTGGGTACCAAATTATGTGGATTAAGTAAAAATTTAATTTTCATGGATGTTTAATTTGGTGGTTTTACCAAAGTTTGCATGTATATAAAAATAAGGAGATGTGGTATGATTGCCAATGAGACAACTATCCACCAAAGTTCAAATCAAGCGGATGTAAGCAATTATAGGCTACTGTGTGGACTTCAACAATGAGAAAAACCCATACTGTATAGTCAGCTATCAAAGGCCCCAACATGAAAAATATGAAACAATTCAATTGAGAAAACTAACGGCCTAATTTATAGCAAAATAAATATGACACACATGAACCATCGACAATGCCTATATAAAATTTGTACTTCGTTGAATATTTAGATGTGTGGTTTACCTTTAGGCAGAAAATCCACGAAAACTGGTCTCCCACGAATAATAATGAATCCACAGTACTAGCTATAGTGAATCCAAAATTGTTAACCTTTTTTTTTATACAACATTTGTACTTGTGCATTACCAAAGAATAATAATGACATCTCGAAACAGACATTTCATTCGCTTTCATAAGAGCTGCGTCTGATAGAAATCAACCTTATGCAAGTTCACATATACATGAATGTGTGTTAGACTTTGATCGATTTTGGAACATTGAAATACGAAATGAAAGATGATATTGGTCTGTTTTGTAGGGTTCTTATAAGAACTCAATTTTCAAACAGTTACAGACTTTGCATATTGAAATTTCAACCCGAAATAGGATAACAGATGTAAGATCAATACATCTGATATCCTATTTTGGGTTGAAAATTTGCATAAGGTCGATTACTATCTGACGCAGCTCATTAGTACACCTGCCTCATATAAAAGATACAGCAATTAGAATCAAATAGAGATATTGTGTCAACACTTCAATTATACAAGAATCTGACAATGCTCTGTTCTGATAATTCTGATAACCTAAGCATTGCCTAAAGGCCTTCACAACAGGAAGTAAAATGGTGTTGTGAGATCCATTTAAGACAAACTGTTTTACTCTGGCCTTTGACTAAGGTTGGGGAAGACGAGACATATGTGTTGCTTTTCCAGTGGCGTCGTTTGGGGGCGTCAACAATTGTTAAGTTAAGAAATGATTATCATGGATTTTGTTGGTAATGGTAATCCTTTCAGACCCCCTTTTTGGCCCAAGAAAATAGAGGTTTTGAGAACTATATCTAATTTGCAAGAAATGTTTGGAAAAAAGTAAAATAACAAAAAAAACGAACTCCAAGGAATATTCAAAACAGAAAGTCCTTTATAAAATGGCAAAATCAAAAGCGCAAACACATCTTACGAATGGAAAACAGCTGTCACATTCCTGACTTGGTACAGGCATTTCCTTATGTAGAAAATGGTGGATTAAACCTGGTTTTATAGCTAGCTAAACCTCTCACTTGTATGACAGTCGCATAAAATTCCATTATATTGACAACAATGTGTGAGCAAAACAAAGAGACATAATAGGTAAAAACGTCAAAAATTGGGGTACACCAGTCAACTTTGTAATATAATCTTAATCACTATAAAATCAAATAACTTTATATATGGAAATGCACATATAAAGTCAGGAGCCTGTTATTCTGTGGTTGTTGTTTGCTGCTGTATATTATTATTTTTTTGAAAACAGGTCGTTGGTTTTCTAGTTTGGATTGTTTAACATTTGTCATTTCGGGGCCTTTTATAGCTTACTATGAGGTATGGCACTGTTTAACATTTGTCATTTCGGGGCCTTTTATAGCTTACTATGAGGTATGGCACTGTTTAACATCTGTCATTTCGGGGCCTTTTATAGCTTACTAGGAGGTATGGCATTGTTTAACATTTGTCATTTTGGAGCCTTTTATAGCTTACTATGAGGTATGGCATTGTTTAACATTTGTCATTTCGGGGCCTTTTATAGCTTACTATGAGGTATGACACTGTTTAACATTTGTCATTTTGGAGCCTTTTATAGCTTACTATGAGGTATGACACTGTTTAACATTTGTCATTTCGGAGCCTTTTATAGCTTACTATGAGGGATGACACTGTTTAACATTTGTCATTTCGGGGCCTTTTATAGCTTACTATGAGGTATGACACTGTTTAACATTTGTCATTTCGGAGCCTTTTATAGCTTACTATGAGGTATGGCACTGTTTAACATTTGTCATTTCGGAGCCTTTTATAGCTTACTATGAGGTATGGCATTGTTTAACCCTTACAGAGGGGCGTAAAGGGGGGTATCTGCACGGAAGAACGGGAAATAAAATGGCCATTTCACGATGAATGAACAATAAAAAATTTTTTTCACGTTGATCTTTTTACCAATTTCACGAAACACAGTGAATAACAAACCTTTTTCACGGCTGCACGTGAAATAAAAATGGCAAAACACGTTGCACGAAAATAACCCTTTACCACCCTCCTTACAGTGACCTAAATCATACCAGATCTTCTTATTCTTGTGTAGTATAGCTTTGACAAATTAAAGAACATGTATTTTAACTTTTCAATTTGCACAAAGGTCTTATGCCCCCTACTCCTTTAAGAGTTATAGAAAATGCAAATTCTCTATAGGCTTGGATGTATTTGGAGGATTTGACCAAGGATCCAGAAATTTTTTCACACAATTTCTGTCATTTTGAGATGACTTAAATGTTGGAGCCTCCAAATAAGTATCTATGAACATACAATATATCCTTAATCTACAGAAATTGGTACCCATAAGAAAAAAAATACACAGAAAAGGCAATTCTTTGATAAATTATGATTTTGAAGTGGAGTCTATTGTAAATTTTGTAATAAATTATAGTGTATTTTCTAATTTTTCTTGTTTTTTCTTTTTTGGCAAAGGTAAAAGAATAAATATGAATTTGGTAAGATTTGTTCTAAATAATTAGAATTGGAGTGATACTTAATATTTTATTAGATGTTCTTAATAAGGTAATGGAAATAATGAAATTTTGTTCAAATTTTAGACTAAATAATGAAAGTGTCTTCACACAAGTGATGCAGTAATTTCTGAAAAAAACCTGTTCATGTGCCTGTCTTAGGTCAGGAAACTGTTGAAGCAGTAGTTATATAAAAAAAAAAATGTAAACACGTTATCAATTTCATGCGTCCGAAGCACTTTTCTGGATTTACCTTCATCAGGAACGCTCAAAGCCGAATATTTGAAAGCCAAGGATGTATAAAGACCGAAAACGTTGAAGAGCTATGAACCAAAAAAGCACCTAAAAAAAATAGCCAATTCCATCGAAGGCTAACTTTGCCTGAGGGAGTTGAAACCTTAGCTTCCGTATAATTTTAAAATTTATAAACGGGCAATTTTAAATAGTTTGTTATAAATCATGTCAGTACCAAAGTACTGACTAGTGTGCTAATGATACCCTCGGGGACTGATAGTCCACCAGTAGAGGTATCGACTCAGTGCTGTAAAAAACATGTAAACACGTTATCAATTTCATGCGTTTCAAGTGTTTTGTCATTTGGAGGATTTGGTGTTGACGTCATATATTTAACAGTAAAATTAATTATACCCCAAATGTAGGAGTTGAGGCTATATTGCAGTCACCTTGTCCGTTCATTTGTTATACTGTAGTCCAACAAATATATTCTACACATTTTTCCCAGGTACTACTGGAAAGAATGACTTCATATTTAGTCAGCATTTTAGAAGTGAAAAGTTGTAAAGTGTGAACACTTTTCAGATCTGTCAGACACTTATTTTCTGTTTTCTGATACTTTGAACTATGAGTTGGAGTATGCTTAAGGTGGTACATAACACTACAGGGAGATAACTCTGTAAAAATCAGCTGAACATTTTAATCACGTTCTTTTGTTAAGGAAATAAAAAGCTTCTCAATGATCAAAATTAGTGTTTGTCAAACTGCTATATATCCAATGAAATTTTTCCGGTAATGTGTGTGGTTCAAGTTTTTTAAAATTTTTATATTTTTGTCAAAGGGTCAAAGTAAATATTTGTCAAAATCTTATGAAAATTAAACGAGCCAAATTATTTTTAGTCGAGGTGTTTGGTACCACCTTAAGACGACAACATGTCCCATCAATTCAATGTTTCTAGACTCAGGTACAATTTCAAGCTTGAAATTTAGATGACACTTGTCAATTATTGAAGAAGTCTTTCTTCACACTGGTTATTGTTTGGTAGCCAACTAAAAGTCTCTGTCAGCTGGAATATCTGGTAGACCAGAGCAGGGTATACAGTCTACTCTCATTATCTCGAAGTCAGTCAACCAGAGAAATATTTCGAGATACCCCTAGCTCGACTCAAAACAAATATTGGAAGTTTGACAAACCAAGGGACACAACTCTTGCTAAGCTTGGTAAGCCTAAAATAAATCCACATGAAAATGGGTAGGGAATGGATATTCTGGTATAAGATCGATGTTTCTGTATTTAATTTTTAATTATTAGAATTAAATACTTTTATTTTGTCACATAGTTATTTCTTAGTATAGTAACAAGATTTCCTGTGTTTTTAAATCGAATGAAAAATTTCTAATCAATCTTAGGGTGATTTTTAAGTTGACAAATTCAACCAAAGCTTTTCAAATTTTAATATGTTGTTACTGATGACAAAAGGGAGGTCAAGTTCAATATTGACGATTTTCACTTTCACCGTTCAGGAATTATGGTTCTTGAAAGATTGAAAAAAGTGTGTTTCTAGTCGTGTCTGTGTTTTCAAATTTTAATATGTTGTTACTGATGACAAAATGGAGGTCAAGTTCGATATTGACATATTGGGTACATGTCAGTCTTGCATGTTTCATCTGACCTTGACCTCATTTTCATGGTTCATTGGTCAATGTTAAGTTTTTTGGTGTTTTGGTCTGTTTTTCAAGTACTATAAGCAATAGGTCAACTATATTTAGTGTATGGAATGATTGTAAGGTGCACATATCTGTCTGGAAGGTATCATCTGACCTTGACCTCATTTTCATGGTTCATTGGTCAATGTTAAATTTTTTGTGTTTTGGTCTGTTTTTCAAATACTAATAGCAGGTCAGCTATATTTGGTGTATGGAATAATTGTAAGGTGCATATGTCTGTCTGGCAGGTATCATCTGACCTTGATCTCATATTTATGGTTTATTGGTCAATGTTAAGTTTTTGTGTTTTGGTCTGTTGCAAGGTGTATATGTCTGTCTGACACAATTTATCTGACCAGGCCTCATTGTCATAGATTTTTAAAAATGTTAAGTTTCTGTAATGTTTTTAGTAAAACCTTTATCTTTAAGACTTTCAACATAAAATCAATGGTCAGTAAAGCAGGCGAGACATTTCAGCATGTGCGCTCTAGTTCATAATCTAAAACAATGTATCCCTAAATATTTATTATGATGATCAAAGAAAATCTTAGGTAAACACATGTGGGAAAACAATGTCATAAATCAGTACAGTGGGCAATGACCGGAAATTTAATTACAGGTGTATTGTCATATTTACTCAGGAGAGTTGGACACCACATGATATTTTGATAAGATTAGAAGTAAACTCTATTGTGTTACAAATAAAAATAATGATTATTGGTCGTGGGATATAAAAATAAATGTTGCCCCGGTACATTTTTTTATTGGAATAGCCCTCACATTTACATATTGTTCTGTATGTATTATTTACTGCTGGACTTGGAACATTTTTACTCAATTAATTCATCTATTTTGACATTTCAGCATCTTCAGTGTTCAACATTCCTGGATTAAAGTTGCTTCCTGAAATGGACGAACTTTTATTAAAAACGTCGTCTCCTGCAAGACCCCGTCCTAGAATACGGACAACTGTTAGAGTATAGTCTTTAATGGTAGCATTGTTATTTTGTGTGTTAAATTCATAGAAGGAATTTTTACAATAATAGTTCTATATGATTACAGTAGGCCAGGCTAGAAATTCTTTTTTGCAAGACAGGAATGAAATAACTACAGGTTTTTTCAAGAATGCTTTTACAGATTTCCAAAGGCTTGACCCCCTTTACACCGTAGCAAGGAAGAAAATACAGTTTTCATATACAAATTTTAGATGGCCTTTTTTGTTAACGGATAGTGCACCAAATTAGAAGACCCGAATTACTTCGATGAAAAAGATTTGGACATACTTTAGATCTTCAAGTCTGGTATAATCTGTATTGGTTGGTTTTTAACCTATAAGCCAGTGATAGGCATAGGATTTTGGGCTTTAATCGTACATTTTATTTCTGCAGATTTTTGCAGATATTTTTCGTATAGCATTAAGATACTGTAATTAAATTTAAATTTAAAAATACCACTTAAGGATGTACTTAGGTGAAATTAAAAAAATCTAGAATTTAAAATTGATGCTATAAGTCAAAAGCGCATTAGTTAAGGAACAAAATAAGCTAAAAATATTGATAGGTTATGGAGCTCCATTTCGAGATATTTAATTTTTTTAAAATGGCGTAAAAAGGCTGACTCGGACTTTTACCTTTTATTTGCATTGGTATTATTTGGGTCTCAAATCTAAAGAAAAGAAATCTAGAATTTGCTTAAATTTAGGTAAATGACATTTTATGAGCTATTGAAGTCTTATATGAAAAGAAAAATGGGTGTTATGGGGCAAAATATTTTACCATGTATCGATGGAAAAAAACCAAGGAGTACGAACATCTGACACAAATTCCTAAACCTGACCTAAGTACATCCTTAACTGACAAATTTACCTCTAAGTTTATATGGTTGTAATTTTCATTTTGTTTGTATTTGGAAAAAAGTTTGGTGAAAAATTTTGAAAACAAAAAGAAGATATGCTAGATACAATTTTTTGGCAGATATAGACGGGGGCAGGATCTCCTCACAGAACTATCTGCAATAAAATTTGGATGATAAAAAAATATTTCTTTAAGAAATATATGAAGACATTTAAGGAGTTAGACCAAAAATTCTGAATTGTCCACTATTTATTCTGAGAAGGAATGTCTCCAATTTATAGTAAGTAAATAACATATATTGTCAATTTCCTACATTATTTAAAAATCAAATATAGAATGTTCCACCGAACATAAAAATCATATAACATTTTTTGGTCATATTTGTTAAAAATAATTGTTATCATATTGAATATTAGAAATGCAATTTGCCACTGTAACATAAATCAATCCTTACTTTTCCATGTAAATAAAACATAAAAATTGTCAAGAGCTACATACAAGTTGTCACTTAAATTTACATTTGGAAGATCATTTTCTTTTGTATTTTCAATAATAAACACCTTGCAAAACTTTCTGAATCTACAGTACATTTCTTAAAAAGCAATGATTTAAACGTTATTTTCCAGTTTACTGCAGTAAAATTATTAGATTTCTACCCTTATGGATACTTTGGAATAAGTTTGATATGCTTATTGATTCTCTAAAGGTTGGGTAATTCTAACCAGAACAAATTGAAAGTTATTTTTTTTCCAAAAAAAGCCTTTTTATTTTCAAGGAAAGAATCCATCAAAATATCTAAATTTCCACCCTTTACCCCTAGCCGGTCCAATGATGTTATGAAAAAATGTCTCAAGACAGATTTTTTTTCTGTTTTAATTCTAAAAAATATGATGAAAGTGGTTATTCCCTCCCTTTATTTAAAACCTTTATGATTTAAAAGTGCAATAGATGTGTAGGTTGCTAATTGTTATTCTGAATTGATTTCTTTTTGAAATATATATTTTTTTGTTTTTCTGAGGAAATGTAGTGACAAAGTTTTAAAACGTTCATTTTTTTTTCTAGTCAGAAGCAAAAAAATCAGAAAGTGTTATTCTAATGTATGCTCATACTTTTTCATTTCATAAGCAACATTGTAAATTTTAAACTTGTATGAAAACCTTTTTTTTATGAATTAAGTACTTAAAGTTGATTGTATTTAAGTTTGATGAATGAATCCACACAAACCAATGACATTTTCCACACACCAATGACATTTTTCACACAAACCAATGACATTTTCCACACAATAGATTATAACATTATTCACACAAACCAATGACATTTTCCACAAGTTTCTAAATTTAGATTTGTGAAATTTGAATCAAAGTCATTGGTAGTATCATTTTTTTTAATTGAAATATTAAACAGGCCAAAATGACTAAGGGTTATTCCAGAAAAAAGTGTAGGGGTGGGGGGGGGGGGGGGTGTTGGAAGGCACTTTACATTATTTATACATGGGTGATGGGTATCAGAGCAACTTTTCACATGTATAATGCACTATGATTCTCAATTACAATTTTCTGGGTTGCGGGTGCTGAAACAAAATGCCTTACACCCCCCCCCCCCCCCCCCTACATTTTTTTCTGGAATAGCCATATAAGCAATGTCTTTCTCTTTCTTTTAGCATAATTAGGAAGTTTTGCTCACAGAGGTGGTTGTCATAGTAACTATTTTGTACATTTATTTCTATATACAATGTGATATATATGTGTTGTGTTATGGTTAAGTTGACAGATTAAAATCTGTTCATTGTTTGTTCACATGTTTTTTATTTTGTCCTTTCAATATCTTCAAAAGTTACTTCCCTTGCAAGGAGTTTGCATGAGTTGTTTCCCATAGAGGTTGCAGGAGTTGTCTCCCATTGGTGCAGGTACTCATTGTACAATCTCTTTTTTTGTGCTGGTTTCTGGACTTTAGAATTGAAAGGGGAAAGTATATTTTGAGTTGCCTCTGTTTTAGCAAACATAACTGACCCGTCTTTCATTACTTTAGAGAAAGGAGGCAAAGATTGCAAATTGAAGTAACTTTTGATTAAAAAAAATAGATTTTTTTCTGTAAAAGCTTTATTTTGCAAATTCAGTTTAATCCACAAGACAGAGAGTGGTAATACAATCAGGATAATTAAATTCCTATGCAAGATTTGATCTCTTAAATGAAAGATGTTTTTTCAAACTTGTAATAATTAGTTTATTTCATGTAAGAGCTTGCTTAGTAGCTGGTGGTGTGATAGCTAGTTATTTCTTTTTAGTTCATAAAGACCAAGACATAATGACTGAAAGTCACATTTTTTTCGCCTTTTAGGCTTGAAAAAAATGGTTTTCCTCATAAAACTACATTTCACTTCTGGACTGGATCCTGGTGCTTGCATTACGAATGTGACTATTATTCAGAAGAGAGCTCAGGTGTCATATTTAGAAAAAATGATGCCCTTCTAAATCAACTCCTTTTAGGGAAAGTATCTTTAAAATATTGATCTTCATGGAGGCACTATTGATTGACTCTTATAATTCAAACTTGCCCAGACACTTTTGAATTACACTTTCCCAGGCACTATTAAATGAAGCAGGTTTTCTGAAATGTTATAAAATTCATGAAACCCAGTGGCAGATCCAGGGGGAGGTTCCGGGTTTTTTTTTTTGACGATCAATGCATTTGAATGGGGACTTATAGTTGGAACCCCCCCCCCCCCCCCCCTTTATCCTGGGTTGGGAACCCCCCTTTTAAAAATGGCTGGATCCGCCCCTGAATCCTCCTACTAATTTGATTTGAATACCTAAGGTCTAATGTGCAATATTGGTTTTATACATGTATGTATGCTTTCCTTTAAAAAGGAGCATAGTCTTCAATGTTTGATGCTAAATGCTTACTATAAGCAGACACAAATTATATATACTAATTATTCTGTTTTCCATAAACATTATATAACTTTAGATATAAATGTCTATTATGTCAAACAGTCCCATTGAACGGAAGATCTCTTTTATATGTGATAATTGAATTCAATTCCGAGCGTATGCACTGAAAATTGAACTCTTTGAATTTATGAATAACGTTTATTTTCTTTAAAAATATGAATACTTTTTTGTGAGTATTTGATCAATTTTTGTTTTTTTTAATCCTGAATTCTTATCTGAAGAATTATTTTTAAAAACTTGTAGATGCATTTATTTAATTTTTATTTTTATTTCATGTTGTTCCAAATGAGCAAGAAAAAGGAGTTTTTGATCTTTATTTGTTTTTGCTGCATTTGCTCTGTGGTTCATTGTTGTTATTTTGCTAGTATCTACAACTGTAACATAGTAACAATTTATTAGCTTTAAAAAATAGGTATGAAAATTAAAAAAAATATACACATTTTTTCGGCTATCAAGTTTAGGAAACAAAAAATGCATTTAATGGAATTAACTTCAATTGTTTTACAGTCCCTGTGAAATGTGCAAAAATCTATGTCTTTGTGTCTTTAATTGATTTTCTTATATTAAAACATGTTTGAGGGTCTGGATGGGATTTAAAGAATAGAGAATAGTAAGCAAAAAGTAAAATAAAGAAAGAAGAAATGAAGAAAAGAGAATAAAGGGATACTAAAATATAAAGAATTGAGAATAACGGGCCACAAATATAAAGACTAGAGGAAAATGGGCTAAAAAATTAAAGAATAGAGAAATGAAGAATCCCCATCCACACCCTCATGTGTTGCTCATTAAAAAATTGGAAAGATATACCATAAAAGTATTATAAAAAGACTTATATGTATATTAATGTTGTACTTGTTAATTGATAAATGTACTAAGCTTAAGTTAATCTTATATTTTATTTGTTGTTGTAAGTTTTTTCTTTATTAGAACTTTATTTTTCTCATTGTCAATGTTATTATTTTTATTAGATTGAAGCTGTTATTTTAGGGAATAGACTCCGAGGGTTATTCTTTGAGAAAAAAATAATGTGCCAATCAAAAGATATTTTTATATTCAGTTATTAATTCAAAATATTGTGTAGAATACAGGTCTTGTTTTACATTTTCACTATTTCTGGAGGGAAAAAATCTAGGCTTTTATCTGTGATTGATGAAAACAATATATTTTCAATAGTCTCATTTTTTTCTTACTGTTTCTAACATTAGTACAGTCAGTCAGGGATACTACTTGTACAAATAATCTTTATTTACTTGAAGAAGTAAATAAATTATACTTATATAAGTTAATTATAATATTTGAATAATCTCCCCTTAATTTTCTAAAAAAATTTACTTGTATAAGTAAATTTTTTTTCCAATCCCACAAAAATTCTCAAGTTTTGAGATGTAAAATGATGCCATTAACAATTTTTCTCAGGTTAGCTCATAATTTTTGATAAGAGTTCAATGTTTCATCTCATTGATTCAACAAAGAAACTGATTGCGCAAAGACCTTAAGTATTTGTGCAAGGCCTTCAAAAATTGCTCCTTGGGGGCTTATAAATGAGCAGTGTTCTGAAGATAACAGACAAATGAGATTTTCATTGTCCATGAAATTACATTTAAATGATTAGTAAAGACATCTACAAAGGACAGACAATTCAAAATTCTGTTAGAGCAAAGGCAAAGAAGTTCTAAGAATTCAAGAAAAGAAGATAAAATGACTTTTTTACTTGTATAAGTAAAAAAATCTAAATGTCTAAGGGACGTAACTAGGCCAAAAAATAATTTACGTATACAAGTAAATAAAATACACTTGTATAAGTATCCTACAAATTAACTTATATAAGTATATTTTATTTACGTCTTCAAGTAAATAAAAATAACTTGTACAAGTAGTACCCCTGACTGACAGTTAAATTAAAAGAAATTTTTGATCATTTAAAGATACAAATACAGGCAATAAATTTGAAGACTTAGTAATGTTGGTGGTATTTGCCAAGCTGAAAAAAATACAAGATACTTTGTTTACGCTTCCTTACAATGATCTGAAAATGCTTTGTTCTACTTTCTGTTCTGGTAAATATGAAAATAAGGAGATATGGTATGATAGCCCATAAGACAACTATCCACCAAAGTTCAAATAAAGTGGATGGATGTAAGCAATTATAGGCAACAATACGGCCTTCAACAATCAGAAAAACCCATACCCTATAGTCGGCTATAAAAGGCCCCTACATGAAAAATATGAAACAATTCAATTGAGAAAAATAACATCATAACTTTTAACAAAACAATTTATGAAATACAAATATGACTTGGGATAGGCAAATAAAGCATGTGGCGGGGTTAAACATGTTTATGAGCGCTCAACCCTCCCCCTAAATACATGAATTACATTAGCAAATGAAATTCCTGTCTACAAATTTTTAAAGCTATGTTTCATTACAAAACATCAGAGGATCCTGAAAGGTCTTTGAAACAGAAATTAAAATGGAGCTTGTCAGATACTTGTAAACAGAATGTGATCACAGGATCTGTATTTTTAAATAGATTAACAATTTGTGATCTGATTAGCATTTGTTATGTTGGCAGCGTCCTCAAGTTGATGAACCGATCATAACTTTTATCTTATTATATATATATTATTTTTTGTAAACAAACTTGATTATTGCGAAAGGTTAATATAATCAATTAATTATTTAAAAGACAAAAATCTATATTAAACTGTGTTATTTCTGATATTGAAATCAATCAGTATATGGCACTGTATTTCAATTGATTAATCAATTAATTATTTAACAGACAAAATCTGTATTAAACTGTATTATTTCTGGTATTGGTATCAATCAGTGTATGGCACTGTATTTCAATTGATTCCTCTCTTATTTGGAGCACCATCATATGTATACAATAAGGTAATTGAAATGGACATCATTGTGAGATTCTAATTATTAAAGATTAATAGCACATGCATTTAAAAGACACCAAATTCATCCTAACATGCGATCTATGTAAGCTATTGTTTAATGTAGATCTTATTAAAAGCATCATGTATTAAGTGCTGTGTGTAATTTTTTAATCATTTATACAAAAATAAATTTGCTTTGTGTATTTATTTGTATGTTATTCTTAATCTTACCGTCAGATCGTATTCTATAATTGCTAATAGAAATATATTTTTAGTGTACTCACTCTTTTTGACTGTCATACAAGTGAGAGGTTTAGCTAGCTATAAAACCAGGTTCAATCCACCATTTTCTACATAAGAAAATGCCTGTACCAAGTCAGGAATATGACAGTTGCTATCCATTCGTTTGATGTGTTTTACCTTTTGATTTTGCCATTTGATAAGGGACTTTCCTTTTATAAATTTTCCTGGGAGTTCAGTATTTTTGTGATTTTACTTTTTAGATTAAGGAATATATCTCCAGCATGTAAACATCTGATTCCTTGATCAGATTTGTCTATACTTTAGGTTCTTTTTGGTATGGCCAGCTCTCTCAAGTTTCTATTTGGTTTTTATACGACCGCAAAAAAAATTTTGTGGTCGTATATTGGTATGACGTTGGCGTCGTCGTCGTCGTCGGCGTCGTCGTCCGGCGTCGTCCAAAGACACATTGGTTTTCGCACTCTAACTTTAGTTTAAGTGAATGGATCTCTATGAAATTTTACCATAAGGTTCAATACCACAAAAGGAAGGTTGGGATTGATTTTGGGGGTTATGGTACAGTAAAGGAATTAGGGGCCAAAAGGGGCCAAAAATAAGCATTTTTGTAACTTCCAGACATAACTTGTGTGTTAGTGTATGGATCTTTCTGAAATTGTACTACAAGGTTCCATATCACAAAGGGAAAGCTGGAATTGAGTTTGGGGGTAATTGCCCAAAACGTTTAGGAATAAGGGGCCAAAAATAAGCATT